CATTTAGTGTTTTTTATCAGTTAAATGGAACATTTAGTGTTTTTATCCTCTGAATGAACGTTTAGTGTTTTTTAAAAGCAGAGAAAGCTGCTCCACCCTTAGAGACCGGTGTGGTACATACCAATGTATCCCTGACCGTTGTAAGGAATGCCAACACACTGAGAGGAGTCACAGTACCCAGAAGGGCCTGGAGGTCCACGGACTCCGGTGTAACCTGGACGTCCTGGTGGACCGCGAGGTCCGGCTGAACCTGAGGGTCCTGGGGGGCCTGTCCTGCTCTCTCCTGGAGGACCTGGAGGGAAAATCATAGGCTTTGATTGAACGACTCACTGCAACAGTCAAATAATAAAACTCAGTAAAAGAAAAAAGTTTTGTGTTTTCTGAGCAAAGAAACAGTTTATGATTAGCTGATGCTGACAGACTGTTTGGACCAGGTCCCATGGTTCAGATCAGGACCCAGGGTTCTGACTGCTGATAACACAGACAATTGTAAATATGGCTCAGGAATCATCAGATGTTCGTTTGGTGTCATCATCACAGTTTCCTCAAACCTCTGCTGCTGTGATAAACCTACACTAACATAGACGGCCAGGGCTTAAGTTGTAAACCAACTGATGCCAGAACACAAATAACGGGCGGTCGGGGTGGGGAGGGGGGGTGTTGTTCCCCCAAAAAAATTTGTAATAAAAGAGATGTAATTTCCTGCATTTTGATGTATTTTAACCGGTTGTTAAACATCTGTAAACATTTGATTAAATTGATAAAAAAACAGGTCTCTCTTGTAAATGACTAGGCTCAATGAGACTAACAACCTGTAGAAATAAAGGTTGAATTGAAACTACTATTTTAGACAGCAGTGATTTATAGCAGCTGCGATTCAGTCAAGCGTCCCCCCCCCCCCCCACACACACACACACAAACTTCAATGTCCGACCCGAACTCTTCTGAATTCAGTCCTGCGTGTTGTTCTGCTCCAGTCTCTGTCACCACTGCTTTCAGGTGATTCAGTTCTCTGTTGTCCAGCTGAGGACAATCCATCCATTTATTTAAGATAATACACTGGACGGTCTTTTTAATATTCTGATCCTGTTATTTTGACTAATTTTGAAACGTGCAATGTGAATAACACACAAACATTTCACTTGTATTTTTTTTTACTGTAAGCGTTTTTATTTATTATCTTTGAAATGTATGCAGGAGCTCTGACACATTAGCAGTTGTGCACGCTCTGCAGAGCTGTCTGGAGGTGCTCCTGTGCGTAAAACGTGCACTGTCTGCAGGGCGCACAGCTGAGCAGGTGAAGCTGACACCCCACCCACGTCAAAAATTCCAGTAAATATGAGTGGTTAGTGTTAATTCAATTCAAAAATACTTTATTAATCCCAAAGGGAAATTATTTGTTGTTGTAATTTCCCTTTGGGATTAATAATGTATTACATTATGTTTGTGCTGCTTTGGTTTCTGAGACACATCTGAAGGTGGATGAAGACGCTTCATCCCCGCAGGACATGCGGTCAGCGTCTCTGCTGGCGGCAGCGTGTGCGCGAGCTGGTGCTCCTGCTGCAGCAGGAACACCCACGCCACAGACATGGACAACGTTTCCTGTCCTTGTATTTTTAATAAATAATCAAAATAAAAATGCACAATGACTTTTATAGGCGGAGATATGAGCTGACGGATCTGACTGAACAGATGCCAGAATGCACACGGTGAAAATGAGGGAGGTCCTGGATCTTGTTCCAGCAGGATCCGGCTCAAATTAACCACTGTAGATGGCTCAAACGAACCAAAGTCCTGTAGTGGAACCACCTCCAGTAAATGTTTGGTTCTGGTCTCATTTAAAGAGCAGCTAACTGTAGTTCTGATTTGTGAGATGAAAAACTGTTGTGTGAGCAGTTTAAAGGTTGGAGACATACCAGGAGGACCTCTGGATCCTTTCTGTCCCACTCCTGGAACTCCTCGATCACCCTTTTCTCCTGCAGGACCTGAACGCATCACAAAGCCAGAAGTTGAGTTCCATGATCCTGCAGGTCTAGGTTCTAACATCAAGTTCAACTGGAGTTAAAGAATCATCTTCTGTTCTTCAGAACAGAGAAATGTGTCCTGTTATCGACATAAGATTAAACATGAACAAATCTTAACTTATAAAAAAAACCCAAAGAGATCTGCATATGGTAAATGGTAAATGGAGCTTACTTCTATAGCGCCTTCCAGCCCCCTATGAGGGGCCCCAAGGCGCTTTACAGTACCAGCCATCCACCCATTCACACGCACATTCATACACCGGTGGCGGTAGGCTGCCATGCAAGGCGCCATCCAGTCCCACCGGGAGCAACTCGGGGTTAAGTGTCTTGCCCAGGGACACAACGGCACATGGTGTGGGAAGTCGGGATTCGAACCTCCAACCTTCCGATCAGAGGTCGGCTGCCACTACCACTGCACCACGGCCGCCCACATATGCATATGGCACATTATACACCTGTTGCAAAACTGTTATTCAGAAATCTAAAGCAATGACAAGCAAAGACTTTAAATAAACGTTAAACTTGATTTTTGATCTTGACCTTATAGCTGGAGAGATGAAAAGATTACTCGACACTCTGTCTAATAGTGGTGCAAATGTATATCAAGTTTCAGTAAATTATCTTGGGTGGATCAGAAGTTACTGCTCAGTACAAAAAAGGCCTTGTTTTAACTTTGACCTTGATTAGTGACCTTGACCTTAGAGCTGGGGCGATGAAAAGTGTATGTGACACTTACAAGTTGAAGTTAGAACTATGGACCGGTATCTTCAATGGTTCTAGTTTGTAGTGTTGAAAATAAACTCTGTGTTCAGATGACAATCCTACCTCTCTCTCCCTGCTGGCCTGGTAAACCAGGGCTTCCAGGAAAACCGTTCCTTCCTGCCTGCCCTGGTTCTCCACTGGGTCCCTGCCTGCCTGGAGGTCCTGAAGGCCCAGGGGGGCCCGGGTTATTGCTACGGTACTGACCATTGGGAATCTGGTTCACCAACGAGCTGACCCGAGACATTTGGTCTGAAATGTAGGAGAAAAAAGGAAAATTACAGAAAACATTTGCTACCTGGCTAACACAGGAGAACTCTGGCAGATAAAAGAAACACTAACATCTAACAAACAAAAACTCACTGCTAACAGACACAAACACTCACCACTAATGATCAAAAATACTCACCACTAAAAGACACAAACACTATCCACTAACAGACACAAACACTCACCACTAACAGACACAAAACACTCACCACTAACAGTCACAAACACTCACCACTAACAGTCACAAACAATCACCACTAACAGTCACAAACACTCACCACTAACAGTCACAAACACTCACCACTAACAGTCACAAACACTCACCACTAACAGTCAC